TGGGCCTGCACCCCAAGGACTTGCGTGTCATTGTTCCCCACTGGACTGTAAGCCTCTAAAGAAGAGGGGGTCTATTTTATTTATTTTATTATTATTTTACATTTTTGTTGATATCAGAGAGGAAGAGAGAGGGAGAGACAGAAACATCAATGATGAGAGAGAATCATTGCCCCCTACTAGCGATGGAGCCTGCAACCAGGGCATGTGCCCTTGAATGGGAACCTTCTTTGCGCAGGCCGACGCTCTAACCTCCGGTCGGGGCTATTTTTTGAATATTTGAACCTAGAGCTTGTCGAGTATTAAATCTTGCATCGGTGGGCATTATTTACATGTCTATTTTGTATTATTTTACACAACTGGCATTCACAGATTTTTTCCCCTTATTTATCTTACCTACACTTTCCATGCCAGTAGGGCACAGTAACATGTACACAGTAGGCGATCAATAAATACTCGACAAATGCCTACACCACCTCTTAGCACCCTTAGCTCCCGGAGGAATTACATTTCCCAGCATGCTTGGCGCTAAGTGCATCTCTGAAGTAAAAGAGCCGCAATTACTTCCCACGGCCCCTTATTCGCCTGTCGATGCCGCAGTGCTTCATGGGAAAGGTAGTTTTAGCGCCCGTCCTCCGGCCCCCGGCAAACTGAGCCCAAACTAAACTTCCCAGCAAGCAGCGCGCGGGCCTGGGAAGAGGAGCAAGATGGCGGAGTCAGAAGATGGTGTTTCGCGGCCGGCGGGACCCTCTACTGCCCCAATTTCGTTTAGCTTCAGTCGTACAGCTGCCCGAAGACGGCTGGCCGACCGGGGCGACGACCCGGGTGCGGCTCCGGAAGAGAAGGAGTTCTTGAAGACCGTGGAAGGGAGGAAGCTGCACAGGTGAAGCGCTGGGTCTTTCATCCCTTGGAAATCGGTGCGGTGGGCGCATGGGGGAGGGCGCAGTCTGAATTGATTGTCTCGGTGACAGTGGCCTGGAAAGCCTGAGTACCGCGTGAGCAAATTCGTGGAGGAGAGAAGGCGAGCGTTTGTAGGACAGTAGGAACTGAGCCTGATGGCCCTGGGGATTGACAAGAGAGAATACATCCTGAGAGGGGGGTGTCTTTAGGATTTGGGAGCCCTGCGGTGTGTGCGTTTTGAAAGAAAAGGAGGAGAGAATGACAGGACCCTAGTGTCTCAACTGAAATGGTGGGGCTTCTCCGATATGGGAACGGAATGGAGCGGCAGATTGAGGTTGGGGGAAGCCATCCACGGCTTAATTCGGAAAGGCGGGTGTGTGGCCTGGAGCTCTGGGGAGAGTCTGGACTGAAGATGATGATTTGTGGGTCATTGTGGAAGCCATGGACCGAGGACTGATTCCTGAAAGGCACAGTTAATTGTTGGGGGTGGAGGAGAGGATCCAAAGAAGGTTCTCTAGTTATATCCAGAGATGTAACTGAAGAACCAGACAGAGCCTGGTCCATGGGCCTGGGGGTGAGTTTGGCTCTGTGTTTTCTCTGAATGAAGGGGTGTGGCTCAGCACCCATTGACCATACTACTCTTCCGACTTAATCCCTCTGTGTTCACATCAGTGTGAATCCCTCAGAAGCCCCCAAGGAGCTCGTCATCCCTTTGATCCAGAATGACCTTCGAAGGCAGCCACTAACCCAGGCCCCTGGCCTATCCACAGATATTGAGGCCATTGGGGATGGGGTGCTGTCCCAGGCTGTGAAGGAGCTCATTGAGGGTGAGTGATCCGTCTTTGCCTTGCCCCGGTGAAGGAAGAACACTAGAAAAGTGGAAGGGTATGGGCGGGGCCTCATTGCTCCCTCCCATTCTTCCTTAGAATCCAAGAAGTCTCTGGAGGAAAGAGAGAATGCGGGTGTCGACCCCACGCTCGCTATCCCCATGATCCAGAAAAGATGCACCCCCAACGAGGAAGGGGCAGGCAGCGAGCCCCGGGCAGAGACAGTGAGCTGGCCCCTCGCCCCCCTCCTGCCCCAGCCTCTCTTTTCCCTATCTGCCAGACCTTCCCTGCACAGAGCAGGGAAAGTCTGTGTGTGTATTAGAGGCCTGCTGCCTACCCCTTCCTCCTTCCATCCTTTGGAGTGTTTGAGGAACACCAAGGAGATTGATGTAATGGGATTGGAATGAGTGAAGGGGAGGGTAGTAGATGAGGTCAGAAATGGGAGCTAAATCAAGTAGGCCCTTGTGGGCCATGGTGAGGACTTTGGATTTACTCTGAATGAGATGAGAACCATGAGAAGGCCCTGAGCAGAGAAGGGACAAGGCATGATTTGACAGGATTTCTCTGGCTGCTGCAAGCAGAACAGACTAGTAAGCAGAGATGGAAGCAAGGAGACCTACTGGCTACAGATGATGGAGACTGAGACAAGAATGGTAGGAGAGACACTTGGAAGGACAGCTAGGGTTTAATGAGAAAGGAAAGAGCAGGGTTAGTACTCCTAATGGCAGCAGCAACCCAGGCAATGGCATTTTTGCAGGAAATCGATGTGATATGTGTCCAGTATGGAGGCAACTTATGTGTCTGGAGTGAGTATAAAGAATTGAGGGAATAAAAAAAAAGAACTGAGGGAGTGATGATGGGAGGTGAGACCATGAGAGGTGAGGGTTGTGTCTACAGAAGGAACCAAGTCTGTCTTTCATACCCATAGGCCTACATTTTACCTCTTCATTCATGGTTTTTTGCAGTGCTTTTTGTTGTTTTGTTTTGAAATTTTTATTTATTGATTTTAGAGAGAGAGGAAGGGAGAAAGAAAGAGAGAGAAAAACATTAAGTTGTTATTCCACTTAATTTATGCATTCATTGGTGGATTCTTGTATGCATCCTGACTGGGGATTGAACCCACAACCTTAGCATAGCAAGATGATGCTCTAACCAACTGCGCTGCAGTGCTTCTTTGAAGCCTAGTTTTCTTTTCTTCTTTCCCTTCCTTTTCTTTCTTTCTTTCTCTCTCTCTCTCTCTCTCTCTCTCTCTCTCTTAATGCTCGCCTGAGGATATTTTTCTATTAATTTTTAGAGAGAGTGAGAGGGAGGGAGAGAGAGAGAAACATCAATGTGAGAGAGACACATTGATTGGTTGCCTTCCCACACTCCCCAACCAGGGCTGGGGATGGAGTCTGCAACCGAGGTACATGCCCTTGACCGGAATCAAACCCGGGACCCTTCAGTCTGCAGGCCGCCGGTCTTTCTACTGAGCCAAACCAGCTAGGGCTGGAGCCTAATTTTCTTACAGCCCCAGACCACCATCTCTTTTGACTGAACTGTTCTCATCAGTCTTCACATGTCTTCTGGTTTCTCTCATCATAAAAAAAAAGACTTTTTCACTTCACTCTCCATCCTGTTCTAGCTTTGGTCTCATTTCTCTCGTTTTCCCTCCTCTTGCAGTTCCATCCATCCTTCCTCTCACTCAGCCTAGAAACCTTATCATCACCTTTGACTCCCCTCTTTATTTCATACCATATACAATCTGTCAGCAGAATCCTATCATCTCCCTTTTCAGAATACATCTAGAATCTGACCACTTCTCCACATCCACTGCTGGCATGCTGGCCTGAACCACTAGCATCTCTCATCTGATCTATTACAGTTACTCACTAGCTGGTCCCCTTGGGGCTGCCACCCTCTTGTGATTCCTGACCAGCTCTCTTTTTATATATATATATTTTATTAATTTTTTACAGAGAGGAAGGGAGAGGGATAGAGTTAGAAACATCGATGAGAGAGAAACACCGATCAGCTGCCTCCTGCACACTCCCAACTGGGGATGTGCCCACAACCAAGGTACATGCCCTTGACCGGAATCGAACCTGGGACTCTTCAGTCCGCAGGCCGACGCTCTATCCACTGAGCCAAACCAGTCAGGGCCTGACCAGCTCTCTTAATTAATTTCTTGCCAGCCCTCTCTGCCTCCACATCTCTGTTTCAGTCAGGTTGACTTTCATGATGCTTTTCACACACACCAGATCTTATCTGCCTCAGGGCCTTTGCTCTTACTGTTTTCTCTACTTGCATCACTTCCTTCTCACATCCTCATGGCTCCCTGTTATCTCCGTCTGGTCTCTGCTCAAAATGTCAACTCAGTGACACTCCCTTCTTCATCTCTCTCATCTCCTTAATCTGCTTTCCTTTTCTTCATATAACTTATCACCACCTGATATATCCTGTTTTATGTATTTTATTTCTTTCGTGTCCTACAATTAGAACATAAGCCCCACAAGGTCAGGATTTTTTGTCTGTTATGTTCATTGCCTTATCGCCAGCACCTAGAACAGTACCTGGCATTGTGTAGGTGCTTTGTAAATATTTGTTGAAGGACTGAACTAGAGGCATAAAGTGAGGGATGGCAAGAGGAAATCAAAAGTTACCCTTAAGCTGATTGGAAAAGAAGCATTGAGGGTTACCCAGTAGGTGATAGCAAATGCACTTCAGAGGCCTGCTACTGTAAGCAAACTCTGACTGTCCTTCCTCCTCCTGAACCCACAGGTGCCCAAGGAGGCCAATTACGAGGCAGTCCCTGTGGAGGCCTATGGGCTGGCCATGTTGCGGGGCATGGGCTGGAAACCTGGCCAAGGCATTGGTCGCACCTTCAAACAGTGAGTTCTGGGGTAGGGCCATGGGGACAACAGACAGAATAATAAACGAGACTCCTGCGGTTACTGCTCACCCGGAACCATCTAGGCATGGGAAGGGCACATTACCACCCTAACCAATTCAGTAGTCTCTTCCACTGCTGTTTCAGACTCCTATTTGCCCTTTGAAACTCCATGATTGGATCCCATTTATGGAAAGATTGCCTCTCTGGGCATCAGCTTCCTTGTCGGAAAAACGGGGATAATAACAGCATTGACTTCCCAGGTCTGTTGTGAGAAATAAGTGAACTTATACATGTAAAGCACTCGCAGGAGGTCCTGGCCCCAAATAAGCATAGACTAGACATTGCTATTACCACACAGACTTACAATCCCTCTCCACAGTTCTAAACTCCAAAAAATTCTGAAAACCAAACTTTTTTTCATAAATGCTTTGGCAGCCGAATGTGACCTGAATTGACATTGAGTGTTTTATAGTGTATTTCTCCTGCTCGGTATGAATATTTGTATGATTTCCCCTGTAGAAATATTAGTGTGTTTGGTTATACTATGGATCTTATGTAATGGGTGGCATATGTAACATGTTATGAGGTTGAATCTAATGAAATTGCTGTTTCTGTAGGTCAAAAGTGTTCCTACTATAAGATGGGGAAGTATACTCTTGAACATTTTGAAAGGGTGGGAGTTGGGTAGGGGTTGGGGGGCAATGGAGCATTGAAGACCTTTACATACCCCACCAGGCCCATATTTTTATGCTCTCTACAGAGTGGTGAAGCCCCGTGTCAACTCACTGAGACCTAAAGGGTTAGGACTGGGCGCCAACCTGGCTGAGGTCCAGGCCTTGGCCCCCACCGGCCCCCACCGCCCGCGGAAGCCCGGTGAGGAGCAAGAGAAGGATAAGGAAGACCAGCCTCAAGGACTGGTAGCTGGAGGAGCTGTGGTGGTTCTCTCTGGCCCTTATCGAGGACTCTATGGGAAGGTAAGGAACCAAGATGTGCCAGGAGCCCAAGACAGGCAGCAGGAAAGATTGATGTGAGGGTCAGTGTGGGGTGCGGTTACGGTGTTTTGGCCAGGTTCAAGCCTCGGACTAATGAAAGGACAGGGTCCTCTCATTGCCACGTGCAAGTCCCAGCTGGAGGGCACGGCCCTCCCAGCACAATTATAGCCAACGGCTGTGGTTGTAAGCTTGAACCTATGGTCCGAACACGATGCCCCACGTGCCTTGTGGTAGAGTTCAGGTGCATGTAGTTGAGTGAGGTTGGAGCTCACGAGAATGCTGTAAACAACGTGATCACGCCCCTACTTTGCCTCGTGGCATCTGCTATAAAATAAAGACACGGCTTGTGGGCACTGGCGTTGTCTCCTTATCAGGGAGCAGTGTCCCACCGAGACCCAGCTATGTATTCTCTTGTCTGTCTTTTCTTTAATCCTTTCACACACACCCCCCTTCAGTTTACCTTTGGCCGCAACAGGTCAGAACGAAGAAGAATTTGGTTTGGGAGAGAAAGACTGGAAATCCTTGTCTTTTAGGCCTTATTTGGTAACCCAGGACCACTTGCTGGGCCTTTCTGAGCCTCAGTTTCTAACGAAAGGGGAGAGAATGCCATATGCCACAAGTGCATAAGGATTAAATGCTTAAAATATGTCCAAGCCCCACAGTCTAGTGGGGGGAACACAGGGACTAGGCCTGGTCCGAGCCCTCAGGGGTCACAGTCTGGTGGAGGAGACACAGGGACCAGTCCCAGACCTCAGGGTCAGAGTCAGCCTTCAGATGTCAATGGCCATTCCTCAGACTCACCTTCCAGGACCTGGCCTGGACCAAGCCTGGTCCCCACTCTCAGGGGTCACAGTCTGCTGGGGGAGACACAGGGGTCAGGCCGATTAGAGGTAAGGGTGGAAAGCTTGGTCTTAGAAATGTAGGTCGAGTCCACTCAACCTTTGCCTAACTACTTCCCAACACTTTAGGTGGAAGGCCTGGATCCTGACAATGCCCGGGCCATGGTTCGCTTGGCCGTGGGGAGCCGCATGGTGACTGTTAGTGAGTACTGCCTACAGCCTGTCTCCCAGCAGGAATTTGACAAGAAGTCCAAGAACTCCTTGGATCCCAGTGAGTAAGCCTCTTACCTAGCTGGGGATGAGAGGGCGTGTCTTGGGCTCGCATGGTCTGTGTGTGTGTGTGTGTGTGTGATCTGTGATCTGCGAT